AGTAAAACGCACAAAATGCTTCACGGCAGATTCTTCGCTTTTGAACTACTTCGTGAAAAATCTGTATATGCTTAAAATACAGAAAAACTTGCAAAACGGGGAACATAATTGAAAATATACGATCGATGCCAATTGAGAGGTTCAGGAAAGTGCCAACATTCATGCCGAAGCTTGGAATCAATTGAAAATGAAAACACCGCTCGGCCGGTATGAGATATTGTTCCGTGAACATGAAGTAGGCCATTATTACATGTGCTGATTGGTGCAAGATTTCACAGAATGCTTCAATTGCAATAATCACATTACATGGACCGTGAAGTCTTCTGCAAAAATCGATGGCGACATGCACCGGGCGGGGCGGTGCGATCATGTGTTTTCGCAGTATTTCTTTCTGTAGTAAAATCGCTCGAAACCCCAGTAGCTAGAAACGTGACATACTGGTCCTCGAAGTTTGGGAAGTTAATTGTGTAACTACGCGGTACTTGGACAGGGAACGTCCCGTCAGAATTAATAAATGTTTTCATATATCCGCAGAATAATCCAAAAAGCTAGAAGAAAGAGACACATCCCTGCCAGAAAATTAGGGAAATGTTAACAGTCACTTTCAGCTGTGGTAATGAAAACACAAAAGATGTTAAAACAACACTGTTATTAAAAGTATCTGAAGCCAGCGGGCATGACGAAGTGGGAGCTAGCACTGTTGTCGCGCTGTAGAAAAAAGGCTGACTCTGTCTGTGGTAATTAGTTTGTTTTAAATTGACTTACATAAAAGCATTTAGGTTTGGTATGGTGTGGGGTTACACTAGCATTCCTTTCAGGAAACAAAACGAACAGCGGAATCGCTACCGTAGTGGCCATCAAACGACAAGGATTGATCATACCGTTTGAAAAATTGCCAGCTGCGCAGTTAAAAGCCAAACCGCGGATTTTATCGATTAAATTATAAAGTTTCTTGCGAAAAGGAAAGAAAAAGCCGCTTCACTAACCTGCTTACAATGGTGGCAACGATGATGCAGCCATTTCCGAACCATCCAATTGCGGTAACCACCAGATAAACAGTCATTATTGGTATTATTAGCATTGGTTCCATTCCTTCCATATTTGTTAGAAAATCTAAAAAACAACTGCTTCAGTGTTAAATACACCGCAATATTCCTAGTAACTAGGTCCAGTTATGGTGATGAATAAGTAGTATATACAACCTTATGAACAAAGAAATCGTTTTTTTTTAATTTTTCGGTGAGCCACCATAGCTAATAATTATTTTGTTCCATATCTTGGAACATAACAATTTATTAATATTTCCCCGCCTTTATCGCCATTTTTTAAAACACCGTTTAAATATTTCATCTATTTTCTTTCAAATTATAAATATACACTTACTTCAAGGGACCGATGCGATTAAATTTTAAGTGCTTTTGCATCAGCGTGCAAAAGTAGAATATGGTCAGGTCTGCCAAGGCTACCGTCTGGTGTGGCTAAATATTTCATTTTGTAAAGAAGTTAGGAAGCTGAAATTT